ACGAGACCTCCTTTTTCTTGGGGCGATAATGCCTTTATTTATAATAAACTTTACTTAGGACTTATTATAATCAATAATCCCGTTGTTACTATCGGAAATCAGGAGAGCGTCAGGAAGTGGCCAAGTTTAGATCAGCGATAGTGAACGAAAGATAAAATAATGTAAGATAGATACAAAAATAGGTGTACGATTATAGATGTAATAGTTATATGATATACTAAAGAAAGAAATAAATAAATAACTAGGATCGTTAAGCTTTCTCAACGATAGGGATATCAGGATGCAATAACAACAAGATCGTGAAGATGTATTCACGGTATGGGTTTAATAATACGATCGTGAAGATGTATTCACGGTATTTCAATTCAATTCAGGTGTAAGGGTAAAAGTATTTATTCAAATATTCAGGAGTTCGAATTCTTTTTCAATGAGATCCAAGTCTGATCTTTATTAAGGGCAAAAATCGCGGTCTTAAATACATCTTTAACGAGTACAAGAATCACAAAATTTAAAAAGGGCGGTAATACTTAAATGCATTACATTCGTCCTTGTAAATAACACAACTTTCCTTTCTATTCTAAACTATAGACGGCTCAATGACAACAATACAAGAACAATAGAACATCATTGAGGAAACTCACGAATTTCTCTTCTCGTTTATCCTATACTCAAGCATCTTTCCTTTAATTTTTACCGTAACGTTACCAGTTAATTCCCTCTAGTATAATCTACCATATTAGGAAGTACCAGAATTATTCTATTAACTACCGAAAAGGGTATCACGGATCTACACTGGGACACTGTAATACGATCCGATTAGAAAATTCGAAATTGCCGACGGTGAGATAATCTAACTAAAGATAACTAATAATTAATTGAAAAGAAAAATATAACGACATTGTACATAAAAAGAAGAAATATATATATATAAATAGAAATAGAAATTTGATAATAATATGTATATAATAGGAAATCGATAATCTACAGATAAAAGAAATATTGGTAACATGGCTATCAGTTCAAGATACATGACCGACGTATCACTATGGCGCAGAAAAAAGAGAAACAATTATAGTAACAATCCCCTCCTCGATTATCGAGCTCCTGCGAGATCACATGGTACCATATCGGAATCTTCTATTCAGGGGGTATAGCGCTTCAATCTATTGCCATGAACCTTCTGTTTCAACACCTTATTGTCAAGGGTTCAAAGTTATAGGTACCCTTTCCAAGAACATCATGGATGATAAAAGGGCCCTCACATTTTTCTTCCAATTTGTTTTTATGGGTTCCTTCGAGAGAAGAACGATAACGAAGAACCTTATCACCAATGAAATAACTTTCAAGTAGGTGGAGCCTATCATGCCGTTCTTTTTGACGTTGCTGAGCCTTCTCGGTCCTTTTCTTGGCTTCGATTTGAGCTTGCGGCAGATCCCCTAAAAGTAACTCGATTCTTCTCAAGATGTAGTCTTGCAAATCATGCTCATTTGTGGGAGGGAGCTTTGGAGTAAATTGCAGGACCTCTTCAGGTAAAATGGCATCTCTTCCATACAAGAGAAAAAAAGGGTCGTAATGGGTAATAGAATGCTTAGTGGTTCGATAGTCAAACAGGGCAGAAGAAATGTAATGATCCCAATCCCCGAAAATTGGATAACGCACTTGGACAAAACTTCGCATAAGGTACGGTTGAAACGTTCCACTAATCCGTTAGTTTGGGGATGATAACTAGTGGAATATTTATGACCGACTTGAAGCTGAGCGCAGATAGCATCTATAAGTTGATTTCGAAAATGTTTCCCTTGATCCGATAGGAGTTTATAAGGACTTCCATGCCGACAGATTATATCTTCGATGAAAAAGGAAGCAACCGAAAAGGCAGAAGCATCGGGTATAGCTCGGGCTTCTGGCCAATGAGTAAGATATTCCATTGCCACAACGATATACTGATTACCAGTTCTAGTGGGTGTCAAAGGACCAACAAGGTCGATGCCAACTCTGTCAAAAGGCTGTCTGATTTTAATTGGATACAATGGTTCACGAGTACGGGGCCTTCCTCGTCGTTGACAAGCGTCACATGATCGGACGTATTGTTTAACATCTTCTCCCATTTGGGGCCAGAAATATCGTACTGATATGCGTTGGAACGTGGACAGCATTTTGAAATGTCCCGATAGGGGATCAGAGTGCATACTAAATAAAACAGGCCTAATTTACGAAGGTAGCAGCACTCTTAATAGACGATGGGGGGGTTGACGATGGCATTTGTATAGAGTGTTATTAATAACAACGAAATGTCGAGTTTGTTGCTTCAATTGGTTTTGTTGTTGGGGTGATAAATTATACTTATATTTGGGGTAACTAAGGTATTTCAAATAGGCTTGGTATTGCCGGGGATCTATAGTGGAATATAAAATAACAGAGGTGCTTAATAGAGTTAAAAAAAACAAAAAATAGCTTGTAATCAAATTCAAAAACGCGGTGAGTCAAAATTGGAGAGGTTGTCGTGATTGGATTGTGGATTTTTGGACGTAGGGGTGAAAACATTCTCGGGCGGAGTGACACATTTGACGACAATTATACCAGATTTTATGGTCAAAATTTTTAGTCATGGAAACAAGAGAATTGACGAGCCGGGAAAGACTATTGGCATTTGAATGATATCGACCAGGTCGATGCGTAACCGAAAAGTCGTACTCCTGTAAAGCCAAAATCCATCGAGTGAGACGACCTTTAGGTAAACGATGTTGTAATAAGGATTTAAGGGCCGAATGATCTGTGATGATGGTAAATCGAGACCCATGCAGGTACTGTCGGAAATAGAAGATTGACCAAATAACAGCCAAACATTCCTGTTTGGTCACAGAATAATTTTTTTCGGCCGGAGTCATAGTTCAACTGGCATAATAAATTACTCGTTCCCTTCTTTGGGAGTCTCTTTGTGCAAGAATCACTCCCAAAGCGATACCAGAAGCGTCTGTGAAAAGAAGAAATTCATTGGAAAAATCGGGATAGGCTAAAATAGGGGCCGTTGTCAACTTGTCTTTAAGAACTTGAAACGCATTATGTTGGTCATGGGTCTACACAAATTTAATATTTTTCTTCAACAAT